ATATATATACACACACACACACACACACACACACAATGTGGAATGATTCATCGAGCTAATTAACATAGCCATCACCTCACTTGGCTTATCATTTTTTATACATTGACTACCTTCTATGATTATGTTCAGATCCTTTTCTGAGAGCAAGTTTTAAGGAGGAAAAAGAGGCTTTGGGGTCTAGGAACCAGAGTTGTCTGAGGAAAACATTAGGGGGCACTCGGCATTACTGAGGAGGGATAAAAGGAAAGAAGTGGGAAGGGAAGGAGTTGGAGGGACGTGGAACTCTAGAAAACAGATTTTTCCTACTTCTCAACTCTATCTACACTCAAGTAGCCTTATGCAAAATCCAAAGGTGTCCTAAATAGTCTACCATTGTAAACAATGCAGGATTCCAAACATATGAACAAATGTGAAAGATTGTAAAATAACAATAAAGCAGAAAAATCACTTTTGGAGAGTCTTCAGTCCTGGTTAAAGGAAGGACAAACCGAGATAGAAGCCAAAGGGCACTGTGACACACCCAAAAGATTTAGCTATGATCATAAACAGTGAAGGCCAGGCCATGCTGTCCAAGGACCTGATACGACGGACTGACTTCAGATAAGATCTTCTTCTAATGAATCCTCTTGGCACATCAGGAATGAAACACTTATGTGGCTCTTCACACCCAAATCACTCTTTTAGCCGACTGTTACAGAGAGAATTTAGTATATTCAAATACAGGTTTTTATCCCTTCCTTCAAATATAACTCTACCAGGCAACTAATATGAGAGGATTTCTGGATAGATAAGAATTACCATAAACAGTCAACTATAAAACTATAAAACAGTGTACCATCCACAAACAATCAAGGACGATTGTGAGATATCTAGACAGAAAAGATCAAAGCAGATTCCCGTAGTGCCAAGTTCCAAGGTGGTGTGAGATAGTTGGGGGAGGAAAGAAACCTGAAAACATAATTCATCAGGCTCACATAACAATAGATGACGTTACCCTGTCAGGGAAGAGCTGATAAGGATGTTAAAGTTGTTTTAAGTGGCTCTGTGCCAATGCATCAGCTCACTTAGTAAGAGATGACACCAAAGAGATAGAAAGATGTGAAGTGACTTCTTTAGGGTCACAACCACAACAGGTTAGAAAATGAATGCGTAACTAAAGAGAGATGAAAATATATATATACACACACATATATTATATATATATATCCTATATGTAACCATCTTCTGCTAGTTAAAAAATACAATGACTATATAAAATATGATGGGAAACTAGAACAAGAAAACCTTTTTTGTTTTTTTAATATACCTTGTTTCACTGCCAGCAATACCTTCACAGAGGAACCGATATCACTTTTATTAGCATTTGTATTAATATTTGAATTAAAACTTAAAAAAACAAAATAGCAAACACATTTGCTGACTAATAATGACAACAGCAGTGATTTGAAGTTAAATGATAAGAAGTTGTAGCCACTGCAAAAATGGAAATTATAAGACTTCTTCTGTTTTGGAAAATAATTTCTAAATAATAATTTAATGCAACTTTTGAGTTTTAAACTGCATATAAGTAGTATGCAAAATATACTGCCAAATACTATGCCAAAAATCCACCATGAGTGTTGAAATCACAGTTTCATGATTAATTACATATTTAAAATGCTTATTATATATTCTGTATAAACTATAATCAGACAAAGTTCCAAACACAGAATAGATGATTAGCCCAGTTGTTTTAGATGCTTTGGGGATAATTAATCACTTTAATCTCTCTCTGTAATGTCACAAATCATCATATTAGGCCTCAAATTAAATTTTTATATGTTTCAGTTTTAAATAGTTTTATCTTCCTTTTGTTTCTTCCCTTCTTTTTTTTTTAAATTTTATAAGGAAATAACTTGATGATATTCATGAACTTACTACAAACGTGGATGGAAAAACTAATTAACCCCTTGGAATCATTTCTAGAGCTGAGCACAAAGGGATTCTTTTGAACCTGAAACCAAATGCAAGTGACTCCCAAATGCCACCATCTCCAGCCCTGACCTCTTTTTTAAACTCCAGGTTTGTATCCAACAGCGTACTTGAACATGAGCCTAGAATGCCTATGAGGCATCTCAAACTTAACACATCTAAAACACAAAGTTAATTCCCCTCTGCAACCTGCTCCTTCCTGGGTTTGCAAATCTCAGTCAATGGTATTAATACAACAGGCTCCAGGTTGCTTAAGCCAAAGCCTTAAGAGTGTTTCTAGACTCCTCTTTTCCCTTCCTTCAATTACAACATCCTATTTATCCACAAGTCCCACTGACTTTACCTCCCAAACATATCATGGATCTACCCAGCTCTCCTTATCTCCACCACCCCCACAGTCAAAATTACCATCGTTGTTCACTTCAACGACTTCCTTAACTTTCTAATTTATCTCCCTGCTCCAACGTCTGCCCAACAGCCTCCTATCCACACAGTAGCCAGTTATATTTTATATTTTATAAAATATAGAGTAGACTGTGTCATTCCCCTGCTTAAAACCTTCTATTGTCTTCTAACCACTACATTAAAGATAAATTCCCAACTGCTCACCCTGCCTGACAACTCAGTGTGGTGTGGCTTCTGTCTGCCTCTCTGGGACGCAGCCCATGACCTTGCCTTTCTCATTAATTCCAATCCTATAGGCCTTCTTCTTGAACATGCCAATCTCATTCCTACTTTAGAGCATTTGGACTTGGTGTTCCCACTTCCTGGAAAGCTCTCTCTAGATTTTCTCATATTGTTTCTTCTTGTCATTCAGTCTCGGTTCCACTAAAATCTCAAAGACGCCTTTCTTAACCACTCAAGTCCCTCAACCAGACCACATGGTGTTATTCTCATCAAAGAACTCACCATGTACCATTTATTTGTTTATTGTCCACCTCTCCCACCCCAGCAACCCTGAGGTTTGACTCAGACTTTCTCTTTCTCTATCAGCATTTCCTATCTTGAAACCAGAAACACAGACTCCTGCCCTCCCTCACCCTCAAACCTGATCAATCGACAAACCCCACCAGAGCTGCCCCTTCCAGCCAGCCAGCCCTCCACCAGCAGCATCATCCATCGCCTGGAGCTTCCCCAAAAGCCTCCTCAAAAGCTCTCCTTATCCACTCCTGCTTCAACCCAATCTATTATCAAACTGGAGCTTGAATGATATTTTTGAAATGGAAATATGACCACATCTCGAGTCAAAGCTGTTCAGTGGCTTCCCATTGCACTTAGAATCAAGTTCATAATCCTTACCACATCTTACCTAAGTAAGACCTAGCCCTACTCAGCCTCTCCACCTCTGCCTCTGCCAACTCTCCCCTTTGTTCTCCATGCTCTGATCACACAGGCCATTCCATTCCTCAAAGGTATGAGGCTCTTTCCCACCCCAAGTCCTCACACATGATTCCATGCAAAACCACTGCCGTCTCTCCCCTTGGCCTGGCTCCTTCCCCTTCATCCTTTGGATTTCCAGTTAAAGGCCTCTGCCACAGGAAAGTTTCTCTGCCTCCCAAGTTTGGTTTAGGCTGCATGTTATGGGACCTGGGGCATCGCTAGTTCTTTCCAGCACTCCCTTCAGGATAAACAAGAGTTAGCTATACAAGTAGAATTACCATTTGATCCAGGAATCCCATTACTGGGCATCTACCCAAAGAACAAATGATACTCTATAAAAAAGACACCTGCACCCGAATGTTTATAGCGGCACAATTCACAATTGCAAAGATGTGGAAACAACCCAAGTGTCCATCAATACATGAGTGGATTAATAAAATGTGGTATATGTAGACCACGGAGTACTATTCAGCTTTAAGAAACGATGGTGATATAGCACCTCTTGTATACTCCTGAATAGAGCTGGAACACATTCTACTAAGTGAAGTATCCCAAGAATGGAAAGACAAGCACCACATGTACTCACCATCAAATTGGTATTAACTGATCAACACATAAGTGCACATATAAGAATAACATCTATTGGACGTCAGGCAGGGGGAAGGGGGGGAGGGGACGGGCATATGCATACACAATGAGTGCAATGCGCACCATCCGGGGGATGGACGCACTTCAAACTCAGACTTGGGGGGTGGGGGGAAAGGGCAACATACGTAACCTAAACATCTGTACCTCCATAACATGCTGAAATAAAAAAAAAAAAGAGTTAGCTGTGCAACGATTGGGGATGTAGTTGGCTCTCAATAAATTCTTACAAAGTGAATGAATATATGAACCAATAAATTAACAAATAGCCTTAGATGAATACTTAACAACAGTATGAAATTCCAGTCAAACCTTTATCCACAAAGCTTCATCTGCAAAGATAGTCCTTAATCTTCAGGTCAGGGCTCTGAGCCTCAGGATATGAGGGCCCTTTTCAAGAAACTACTTGCCAACTGGCAGTAAACCTTTCTGAGAGTAGATCATACTTTCAAGTGTATGACAGTACAAGGTGTAACCAGAAAGAAATGTGATCAATTTCCCTGAGATGCAAAGGAAAATTAGAGATCAGTGATCCAAAGCAGCCAACAACTAACCCCCACGGAGATTTCCAGATTTAGAACGACATGTTAAATTTAGAACATAAAACTTCAGAAAGCAAACAGGAAAACTATTCTGCAGATGGGCTCAACGGAGACATCCTACAGATTCAGGAGTCCCACTTTCTCCATTCTTGGCATCTTTTATCCATCACCGTAGAACATTGTGCATGTACATTTTATTCCTTTACCCTGAGGACAGAGCAGGTGTCATACCCTAAGGCACCTGGCTTCAATCGGAAGTGATTTACTTGGCAAAACAGACATTTTGGATAATAGCCTCAAGGGCAGATGCACATGTTAATGGAAGAGTGAAATTGCAAAAAAGTTGTCTGCTGGATGTCTCTGAACAGCAGGGCTACACGGGTACATCGAAACTCCACAGCTCAGTAACAATGAGACCACGGAGAAAAACTGTACTTGCCTGGTAACATCGCTCTGTCTTGCCTAGCTGACTCAAAACCGAATTATTTTCACTTGAATAGTTTTGGTTTAGTCATCCAATAATTCGCTTTCATCTCATGGTCAAGTTAGGTGTTAGTAATATTTAATCATATTAAAACTTTGAAGCATATTACACTTTGCTCTTTAAGCAGAGGATTAGAAAAAGCAGAATATTATTAATGAATATAATTGAAAAGAAAAAGGACTAACTTCCCAGTGGAAAAAAAAAACAAGTCAATGAATGCTTTCTTGTGTTATGTTTTACCAATGACCTGAATAATTAACAGAGATTCTATTTTATACCTGGAAATGCAGAGGTAATGTAGAGTTTAGGAGAGTTTGTGCCTTTATATTTTTTTGCTAAGTGGGATTTTGCCATTCACTATCACCTATTTAAATGTGGGCTTTACATATTAGTATATGTTTGTATCTGGCCCAAATATGGACATAGTTCGACTTAAAAAAACAAATGTTTCTTTCTCTCCCTTCTCACTGGCCTTTCAGGAGATACAACAGATATGTAGAAAGAATTTGTAATCTGATATCAGACAGACCTGGGTTTAAACCTATCTCAGTGTTTCCTAGCCGGATCAACTAGTTAAACTCTCCAGTCTCCAGTTTACTCATTTCTAAAATGCAAACAGATAATCCTAAATTCCCAGGGTTAGCTTAATGCTTAGAAGGGCAACATTTGAAGCCGTCGTATTTATAAATTCTAGTATTGAATGAATCAAGCAATTTCAGACACTGAGATGCCTAATTGTCTTGGGATCTATTTCGGGTCAAGAAAGTTGTCCCCAACACCCCTTAAATCTCACCACACAGGAAAACCCTGACTCAAAGACATGTCTGATGGCTCACCTCTGCAGCATATCTCACTCCATCCACCATGTGCTCGGAGCCGTGGTCATCAGCGCACCCCCAGTGAAGGTGGAACTGTCGTAACCTGTAGCTTCCAATGAGAGGGCCCCCACGCAGAACTAAACGTGGGCAGATTTTAAATTGTTAGCAAGAAAAAAATATTTACATATGCTGCCGCAACCTGCAACAGCTCCCTGAATTACTCTATACATCCGTGTCTTCCAAAGAATTCTTTGCAAATGTGTCATTTGGTTTGCTGAAAAGAATACAACTTTTAGATATGTGCGAAGTGAAAACAAAACATTTTAAAAGGTCAGAGAATCCACAATACAGATTTTTATGGAACACCTGGGAAATCACAGCAGACATACTGATTAAAAAGTAGAAGAAATTAGAAATTGCGAAAGGCAAGGAACTGCCCTGAGGATAAGCCAGCCTCTCTGAATAAGGATGTGATATGCAAGAAGGTGCGGTTTGACCTTGATAGAGCAGTGCAGCATCCTGGTTAGGGCACAGGTTTCAGCAATTAGAGACCTGCATTCTGGGTTTTTTTTGGTTTTTTTTTGGAAACAGTTTTGCTCTGTTACTGTGGCTAGAGTTTAGTGGCATTATCATAGCTCACTGCAACTTCAAACTCCTGGGCTCAAGCAATCCTCCCATGTGGCTGGGACTACAGGTGCACACTATCACACCTGGCTAATTTTGTATTTTTGGTAGAAACATGGTCTTGATATGTTGTTCAGGCTGGTCTCAAACTCCTGGCCTTGAGTGATCCTCCTGCCTCAGCCTCCCATAGTGTTAGGATTACAGGCATGAGCCACCACGACCCACTCTCACGCTCTCTTTTACTAACTGTGATCCTAGACAAACTAACTTCCATGGCTAAAAACTGAACGCAGTAATGGGACCTACTCCTAATGCTGTCATGAAAATAGAAGAAAAATTAAACACAAAGCACTTTTCACTGCCTGACACACAATCAGCATCATGGACATGTTGCCTATTACTATTAAACACTATCTTATAAATTGTTATTATTACTATAAAAATTGGCCAAGTGAGCACATCTTCCGTACTTAAATTCTATATTCTTGGGGAAATGTGAAATACAAGACAAAATTAACCTTTTAAAAAATCCATCATATCTCTGTCAATTTGGCAAAGCACATTTTAGTACTTTCCCTCAATAAATATGATCTCTAAAACAATGCCAATAGAATAATATCTTAAATATCTAGAAAACCTTCTTAATAGAAAACATAGTCCCCAACCATGCTTTATTGAGCATGTTTGAAGGATATAAGAGGAGAAGGAAGTGCTGGATGTTGGATACACGATAAGAATTACTAACTTCCATTAACACCCAATAGAATTAAGTGTTAGATTGGTGAGGCGCAGCTTTAACAATAGTTTAATTTAAATTACCCTCCTCTTCAGAGATTCCCTATAAACACTGTTGCAAAATTTGTCAAGAATGACCTGCCTTATATAAGACGTTAAGAATTATCACATGCAGTTATCTATACAAAGCAATGGGGTAAAAAAGCATAAAAGATAATATATTTGCCTAAGGCAAACCTCTCCTTGAGCTATACTGCAGGAGAAGGAACAGTCCAGCCTGCCATGTGCATTGACCAGTACAGCTGAACTCACTTCTCCCTTACTCAGTTTGACTCAGATGAAGCTGAACATCAGTGATTACGAGTTGCTGCAAAGATTGGAATCAGCAGACCTGGGTACAGACCCAGTGTAGCTCCTAAATTATGCGATCTTCCAAAACTCACTTAAGCTTTTCTGGGCTTCAGCTTCCTTGTCCATATCTGTGTTTGTCTGTCTATTTTTAATTAGGAGATTGAATTGGATGATCCTTGACTTCCAAAATTCTCAAAACTGCCAAGGAAAAAATTGTGAGCATACATAATAAAAATAGTTTGGAAGGTTGAATGGTTGGGGCTTCCTTCAGATTTATTTGGATCCAGATTTCATTATAATAAGTAAAGATAGCTATTTCCAAAGCACGCTAAAAAATAAAAGAGAGGCACTTAGATCAAACTCTAGGGCTTGCTATTCTGTTACTCTGTTAAAAACAGAATAATTTTACTGTTTCTTCTCCCGCTGGACAATGTTCATGAGGGCAGAGACTGTCTGTTTGGGTCCCCATTGTTGCCATCACTTAGCAGAGAAGATGCACAATAAATATTTGATGAACGAATGATAAAATATTTGATTTGTCTTTTTACAAATACTTTCAAGGTGATTCACAGATAAATTAATTTAAAAGGCACCTTTCCATACGTGACACCACAGTCTGTATACATTACACTATCTGTATAGGTTATAAATGAAATGACATTCCAAATGAAAAGAAATCAATAGCTCTATTGTGTTTTTTTTCTTTGTTGTTGCATAATGAAAACTGAGCTGAACCATAAAGTCATTCCTTCACAGATAAAAAGCAGATTAGAGAGCCTGAGTAATCAATGTGGAATTGACTTTGGGAAACTATGCAAGCAAGCTGGCTCTGGAGAAAGAAAGTGATACAAAAAAACACACATTGTTAGGGAAACATCCAAGAATAATGGTTGATCTCTGGAAAGTCTACTCTGAGTCCAGGGTTCAAAGCCAGATTATCACAGCTCTGCTTAGTCAAGCAACTAGGATTGCCTTACATTTACATATTTGGACTCCACATTTGAATCTTCAACTAAAATATCCAACCTGGGATTATGATCAGCAAATGTCTAATTGCGGAGAAGACCATTTTCTTGGAGCAGTCTTCTTCCAAAGAAATACAAGGTGGAAAAAAGTAAGTCAAAATATCAAGGTTTATTTGTTAATGACTTTGAGACAGTCTATAATGAAACACCTAAACTATGGTATAAAATGAATAATGGCAATAAAAATTATTTTTAATGAGAATGAATTTAGTGTCCAAATAATTCATCTTACTTTTCAACTTAGATAAGTAAATAAATATTATTGTCTTCATTTAATGTTAAAAAACGAGTTAACATTTCTCCAAAATCACACTCGGCATATATGAGGGCTATCTGGAAAGTATGCAGCCATTGTTAATACAATGAGAACAATTTGCGCGACATCGATATAACCTGGCAGCCAAGGAGAGTGGACTGGAATGCGCACGCACGAACAATGACAACTTCACTGTATTCGTCAGTGGGATGCTAGATGCTATTGAGTGAGCATGTGTACTGTGTGGCCGCCACATTCAAAATGACTTAGCAAGTAAAGCAATGAATGTGCATCAAATTTTGCGTTAAGCTTGAACATTCCTCCATGGAAACTATTCAGAAGATTCAGCAGGCTTTCAAGGACAATGCAATGAGTGCAACACAAATAAAAGTGTGGCACAAACTCTTTAAACATGGTCAAGAATCTGTTGAAAGTGATCCACATTCTGGAAGGTCTGCAACAAGCAGAATACTTAAGAATGCTGAACGTGTAGGTTAAGAGATACTGGGAGAACTGTGTGAGGTCCCAAGATGCCTACTTTTTAGAGGACTGAGGTGTCATCGTCCTATGTACAGTGTTTCTTGCTTGTGTCTTCCTCAGTAAATGTCTCTATTTTTCATACTACATGGCTGAATACTTTCTGGATAGCCTTCGTATAGTCTATTTACTCTTTCATTTAGAATTTATTCTTTTAAAATCTACTCCAAATAATACATATTCATACAAGAGGTCTCCAGACATTAAGAAATCAGAGCTACATGCCATAAAACTTAAGGAAAAATATAATATTTTGGTAAAAGAGTCTTTGCTATTGGCTGTATGCTGCAATGACCAATGACATTGTGAAACTTGAAATGTATGCTTCTCTGTTGGATTTGACTTTTTAAATAGTGATTTGCTAACCCTGCTCATTTTCCTAAACTACACTGAAGTCAGCTGCCTTGAATGATAAGAACAAGCTGGCAACAAGATCAGAAAACAAAATTATTACAAATCACCACATTTGTCTGCTCATATACTTACTGTCTATCCTACCAGGATATAAACTTATTTAAGGTAGAAATTGTCTTGATCACCTCTATCTCCAGTGCCTAGATCAATTAATATTACTAAGACAAAATAAAAGACCTCACCTGGAAAAGTCCTCCTCCGCACATGTCAGTTTGTAAGGTTGCTACTGAAGTTACCTGGGAATCACTAAAGAGCATATTCTTAGAATAGTGAACCTGATGAAAGCCATAGCTTAATCACTGTATGATAAGCTGGCTCTTTGACATAAAGCTGAATGAAAAACACATCTGTGATTAGCATGGAATCTAGGGAAAGAAGGGCTACAAATCTGCCAGGATTATATCATAGAGAGAGAGAGATCAAAGGTCACGGACACTCCCAGTCACTGGGGCCTTGTATTCTTTATAGAGCCAGAAGAGCCTTCCTTGTGTCTGGCTTCTTTGGCTCAGAGTATATCCACATCAAGCTACTTTCTGATCATTCATTCATTCAACAGTTAAGCACTTACTAGGGGCCAGCACCTATTCAATGCTAAGTATGCAATGATGAGCAAGGCTGTTCTTATCTTCAAGAAACTTAGTCTAGTGAAGGAAACAGATAATTATAGTAAAGTTTTTAAATATATAATTACCACATTACTGTAGATTACCAATTCATTTTGCTGGGTATCTTGGTTCCTGGAGGGATTGCACATGTAAGATATGTCCATACCCTGTATCTTTTTTTGTTTGTTGTTTGGGTTTTTTAAATATATAATTTAAGATCTTGTCAATTTGGACGACTTCAGGCAGTTACCTAGAACTAGATAATGAGACTGTAACTAAAAAATTGACAGTTTCTAGAGATGAAATTAAAAGACAGTCACTGAAGCCATCAAATTAGTGCTAGTCCTACCTGGACTTTATTAGCAAGAAGACAACTTCTTCCCTTTTCAAATCTTTCAAAAATTTCAGCACACATATCTCATGCACAAAAAGAACACAGACAATTATTATTGTTATCTTTAGTTAATAATAGTTATAGAGTGCTTACTATATGCCAAGCACTATCTCATTTATTAAATAGAAAAATTAGTAACACAGCCTTTAGAAATTAAGGGTTCAAACAATGAATAGTGTTTAACTATTTAGATGTTAAATGGTAAATATTAATTGATTTCTGGTGGTTTATAATTTTATGTTAATGTAACCTCATGCCATATCATGGTGTTTTCCATGTCCTTCCATCACACACAAAAAAAAAATTTTTTTTTTTTTGGTAACCTACACTGATTGAGTTCCTGTGTCCCAGGCACCATACTAGGTAGATGAGTAAGACATAGCTATTGCCCCTAGGGAGTCATCAGCTCAGTCGTAAGACAGACAAGCAATTACAACACACTATGGAAAGTTCTGTGATATGACAAGTCCAGGAGGCCCTGGACACCAAGGCAAGGGTGACAGGACCAGTCAGGTGAGATTCCCAAAGAGGTACTCAGATTCCTGTCTGAGTCCAGGAACACCAGTAGATGGGGTAAGAACAGCCTAGTCTTTCCTCATCAGATTACTATTTCCCCTATAGGAATTCTTCCTAAAGAATTTCACATCTACCTGCTGCCTTTTTAAAGGACTATTAAAATTCTGAAGGGTGGTTCCTGGAAGATTAACTATGGGATATGGATGTGACCAGCCAAACAAGCCCTGCAGGAATATTTCATGCCTGTGGTTTATTGACTGGTGGGATTCAGAGTTAATTTTCGTCAAGAATGGCTATTTTTCAAAATGGAAACTTTTATTAAAATTAAAAAGGGTTTTACTATAGAAAGTGTCTTTGTGTTTTTTACAGTTTGCCAAAAAAAAAAGCAACAACTTATTTTGTTTAGCTATGATGGTTTCTACTTTTTAATTGATTTAATCCCCAAAATCAACATGAGACAATCTCATTTGGTTTATCTTGAAAAAAAAAAAAAAAAGAACAAAATCATGACCCATATCTATATAGCTTCTGTCTCAAAGGAGTACAAAGTACTTCATGAACACTTTCAATTAATCCTGGTAATTTCACTGTGATCTAGATAAGAACAAGATCTTTATTTACGGGAAAGAGCACACACTACTGATCACAAACTGTCAAATCTGAAACAAACTGGTTTCATGATTAACCCAAGGTGGAGGGAAAACGAGAGGAAGAGAGAAAAAGAGAAGAGAGAGAGAGAGAGACCTGTATTGCTCTAGAGGACATTAGAGTAGGAACTGTTTTTACCACTAAGGGGGACTACATTTATAAAGAAAAGACATAAAGTTCTAGATGAAGTACAATCTAATAATTTCTTATTCTAAAATGAGGAATGGGTAGCCACCGTTTTTGTGTTTGAGATATTATAAACAGTATCAAACTACGATTATGGGTGGTATAAACTTTGCATTAAGAAGCCTTGGACTACTTTTACAATGTACTCATTATATTAATCACATCTATTGACACGGATTCACAAAATTGAGAGCTTGAAGGAAATACAATTGAATATATATAAAAAGCCAGGTCTCTCCTCCTTTGCCCCCCAAAAAGGTTGAAAATACCAGGGGTTAATTTTTCTTTATTCATTTTTTACGATGCTTTGATGAAAATGTATCACTTTTATGAATTTGACAAATATAAGGAAGAAATTTGTGTGGGCTTATAATTTTCACTAACAATA